ACATTCAGCAACAAGCACCACTGATCATGCTAGTGATGATAATGATGATGTCAAAGATGATGTCAATGATGCTGACGACGACTAAGAAGTGATAACACAAACATGTACAGTCGACTCTACTGTACTTATAACCAACTTGCATATAGGGAATTTCGTGATATAGCGAACCGTTGTCCATGTGCCATTTTGAACCCACAGTGTAAGTTCATTTCTGTTATAACAAACTTCGGCTATAAAGAACTAGTTCTCCTGCACAACGGTGTTTGTTCTATCAGGAGTTGGATATATGCATGTTGCAATACAAACCCACACCAAACTTGCATGCACACACGCATGCACACACCATGTACCATGTACCATGTATACGCCCGTCGCAAGAGAAGCACGCAAATCTACAAATGCACTGGATGTGCACCCACAGATTTTCTCTTTATAGCAACGATAGCAGATCTGATTCTGATTGAAGCAGATCAAGACAAGCGCCAGATAACTGTCTAATCCACACAACTGGCGAAGCCATGTGAATCGACCCCCAATGCACACCTGGTCTACACCACACGGAGTACATCGGAATAGGACGGCCAAGACAGTTACATATGCACACCCTACACTTGCTGGGGTAACCAGTATAGACAGCACACACACAGACAAGCACAGACACACACACATGCACATGCGCACACACACACACACACCCACACACACACACACACAGCAGTAGCAGCAGCAGCACACATTGTTTCCAGATACCTACTAGTATTTACCTGTTGTATACAGCACGCAACCAACTGAGACACCACACGACGGACATGATCAATGTTCTCCAGTGCAGTCTTCTCCGTTGGCTTCAACACAGAGCTATAAGGTGTCTTGGCTTTCAGTGTCATCATCATCAGCATCTGCGAGAGCACCTGTGAGCATGAACTGGGTACAAACAAGCGTGAACAGATTTACGCAGACAGACAGACAGACCAACAGACAGACAGACAGACAGACATACTAAGCAAGGGCCTAGGACTGGATTCTCCAGGTGAAGATACACCAGCAAGGGTGCAGCTAGAGAATTCATCACAGACAACAGTAGAAGATAGGCGAAACACACAACGGGAGCAAGACTTGATATTTCCGAACATCTATATGGTCGGGAGGCTTGCTGTTAGAAAACTGTCTAAATTACTTGAACCTAACCTGTAACCGAATATGAAGTAAGACCAGGCCAGGAAGGAGAGGAACTGGGGCACTGCCTGGAACTGCTGCTCTTCAAGAAGCATTGACCAGCCTTGCGTCCACTCGTCCAGCATTCTGCTTACAAGAAGGTGTGTATGTATGTGCAAAGTCCAAGAGCACAAACAAGGGAATTACATGCACAGACAAGCACTATTAACTGCAAACATGACATCACACATCCAAAGAAACCTTATACTAGCAGTTGAGAGTGAATCCCTACACTAGATGGACATGTACACCAATATGACGTGGAGCTTGTCAGATAACACAGAATAACACAGGATAACACAGAATAACACAGGATAACACAGAATAACACAGAATAACACACTGAAGAAGACAGATAGCACATGCACAAGGGGTGGGTGGGGGGGGGGGGATGGAGGGCAAGGGGCAGACAAATGGAGATGCATACCAATATACCTCGGTTAGACAGATACTGGGGAACGGGTAAGGAAAGAAAAAGAAAGAAAGACTGGGCAAGTCGGCAGAGGAAGCGAGAGGGAGGGAGGAGATTCAGAGAAGGGGGGGGGGGGGTGGTGGTGGAAGAGAGAGAGAGAGAGAGAGAGAGAGAGAGAGAGAGAGAGAGAGAGAGAGAGAGAGAGAGAGAGAGAGAGAGAGAGAGAGAGAGAGAGAGAGAGAGAGAGAGAGAGAGAGAGAGAGAGAGAGAGAGAGAGAGAGAGGAAGAAAATCAGTAGCTGAAACAGAGAAGCAGCAACTATCAATAACCACAATGATTACGACATACACATGCATTGGCTGATTGCAGTGATATAGCGCATGCCAAGCTCTCCACAGGTGTGACATGTGACCACATGGCTCTCTCGGTACCTGTGATTTAAGAATGATCACAGCGACATCAACACACACACACACACACACACACACACACACACACGTACACACGTACACACACAGAGACATACACACACACACAGATGCAGAGAGTGAGATATATAGACAGAAAGATAAACAGACAGAGAGACAGATAGATAGATCACATGACCCATATACATGTGCGTAAGCTCTTGCGTGTGTGTTGATCTGTACGCAAGCGACAGTGCACATACTTCTGTGGTGCCTTTCAATCCGTCATTCTTTCTTTCATTTCGAGCTGGAAGGAGACTTGATCCAATAGCGCCATTTTTTTACATTTAGCAGTTTCCTTCTTAGTCTTGTTTTCCGTAAGGAGCCACACGACATTATCGATAATTTTCATGGAGCGAAAAAGTTTCGTTACGACTCTCACCCCCCCCCCCCCCGAACGAAAAATATATTGACTTGAGAGCTAGAATTGTGCAGTGTAGTGTGATGACAGTGATCATAGAGCATAATTACATACCGCACTTGCAACTTCATCTGCCTTGGTCTGCAGCTGCTGAGAGAACACATCCACTTCTTTGGACGATGGATGAATACTAGCCAGGACATCAGACTATGGATGATAGTAAAACAAAACACAAGACAGACAAACAGACAGGCACAGCCACAGACAGAGAGAGGGAAAGAGAAAAGGAAAGAGAGAGAGGGAAAGAGAGGGAAAGAGAGAGAGAGAGAGAGAGAGAGAGAGAGAGAGAGAATTGAATACAAGGATGAATAAACATACATGTCACTGAATTAAAAAAAAGAGTGAGAGAGAAACTACACATCCACAAGAGTACCAAACTGTATGGCTTCAGCCAGGAATAGATTACAGGTACTTGCAATGGAGAGAATAAAAAAACTTACATCAGCTGTAAGATGTTACAAACAGTTAACTTGTCATTTGCAGCCAGCCCCTTTGGTCGCACATAGGGCACGCTAACTACTTGCCACTACTTGTACATATCATACTGTTGCTCTGCGCATTGGCATTTTCTTTTTTTCAGCTTGTGGCGGATACGGATTTCGTCAATCTAAGAAGTTTTCTATTGGCCGTAAGACTATGAGCTACTGTAATGCAATGTACATACTGGTAACATGGCCTGTGCATGTGAGGCAGTATGTCTACTTGAGTTTCAACCAGCTATTTTCACAGATTGACTAGAGCATTGTTTTACATGATACACTGCGCTTCTGATACCGACACAAGGCCACCAGCCAAGCTGAGAGAGTCCCTCTGGTTTTGGTGTACATTGAGTTGCAAACCTACCGCTACCTCACGTCAAAGGACTTAGTCTTCAAGCGTGACGAGCAAGGACGTGAATTATTGATATATCGTTCTAAAGCATACTCTTCCAAGAACCACCAAGGCGGTGTGGGTACCCGCCAGCAGGAGTCGGACGGTAGGACCGTGGACTCTGGGGAAGTAGTTGCACCGGCTAAACTACTAATTTCCAAGCTTCCCAGCTCTAACAGCGGGCTGTTTGAACAGGTCAAGAAAACACCCACTGACAGTGAGTGGTACCTCAGTACAATGGCAAGGTTCTGGGGAAGAACAAGATCGCTGAGACGATGAAGGACAGCACTAACAGGGCCTTACTTTCGACCGCAAGTTTCCCCCATCGGCCTTACATAGAACTAAACTAACATGCTCCTAGAAGTACTTACTAGAGCCCAGAACTGAGAGTCTCTGTCGTCCGTCACAAGCGCCAGCTGCACGGCTTTGTTCCTAAGCATTGCTGCCTCATGCCTGGAGCAGCACACAGCAACAAGGGCACAGAGAATCACACAAACAAGAGTCTTCAGAGAATCACACAAACAAGAGCGTTCAGAGAATCACACAAACAAGAGCGTTCAGAGAATCACACAAAGAGAGTGTTCGGTCAGAGCCCTTGCAGTGCTGGCACGCGACAACCTACATACACCTCAGGGGCGTTGGACACGGTACGGTCACTACGGTATTGACCGTACCACTTTTTGCCCCAGTCACCCCGTGAATCAATAAAATACACTGATTAGGTATCTAGACTTACAAATTTTTCAAATTATACTTCAGATGGCTGACCGTACCACACTAAAATACCTTCCGACGCCCCTGCACCTCTTGGCCGCTCTCATGTGAACTCTTAGTCATGTGCTACCAAGAGTGTATAAGCTCCCAAGAGTGTGCAACTGCTGATACACTTTCTATGGGGTTAGCCGACGGCGAAAACTCACACCACGTGGTGCACTGTCCCAGTTGTACGTTTCCAGCCCGTTTTTAGCAAGCAGCAGAGTAATAAAAAAGCACTCTCTGACAGAAACTCACTGCGCGTATGCAACTTGCCAGCATGATCATGGCAGATATTCGTATTGCGCACACTCTATCCTTCGTTTGTACGTAGTACAAAACGTACCTGAGACATGTGATGTGAGTTTTCGCCGTCAAAGACCCCATATGCAGAGTTGCACACTCTTGGGGGGTTATATACTCTTGGTGGTACAGTCAGACCTCGCTTAACCGCACACATCCGTTTCCCACAAAAATGTCCGGATAGGCGAGGGAACCGGATAATCGAACACACATATTGTATGTATGCATGACATATGCTGTAAATCAGAAACCGCGTGTATATGTGTGTGCGTGTATGTGTGTGTGTGTGTATGTGTGTGTGTGTGTGTGTGTGTGTGTGTGTGTGTGTGTGTGTGTGTGCGTGTGTGCGTGCGGGTGTGTGTACGTGTGCGTGTGCGCGCGGGTGTGTGTGTGTGTGTGTGTGTGTGTGTGTGTGTGTGTGTGTGTGTGTGTGCGTGTGTGTGTGTGTGCGCGTGTATTCTTCTTGCTCAGTAGCCTGCAGTACAAGAAGCACTGACCTGCAACCAATGGCAGCTGCAGAACAGGACAGCTCTCGAATAGCCAGTCCGCAGTGAAGCATTGCATTGCGTGCATCACTGCGCCGCTCATTGCTACCGTCGAGGGCAGAGGCAGAACTTCTGGGCAACGTCATGTCAAACAGCTTGTGGTGCAGCTTGACGGTGTCGGACCAATCACGGCGCTGCTGGGCTGACGTCAGATCATCCATAACCTAGTAGGAATGATCAACAGCCAGAAAAGCACATGCAGTTTGTAATCAAAACATTTCCACACACTCTCACACTCACGCACGCGAAGCACGCACACACAAAGTACAAGAACAACTGTATGTATACCTGTGGGGTTTGAAGAGCAGCAAAATCAAAATCAAAATACTTTCCACACACAACACTTACAATGTAAATGAATGCAAGTGGCTTCACAGTAAAAAGTTGCGCTATTAGAGAGGTTCCGCACTACGTTAAGTTGAGCAACTTTACGTTAGTGGGCGGGAAAAACCCGTGAATTCGCGAGTTTGCACTCCACTTCCGGAAAGTTGTCTACGGAGAGTACGTAGATAGGGCTCTGATAACGTAGCTGGTCCGTAAGTGGATTGGGGTACAAATTTATGACTCTCTCCTCAGGTCGATCTGGTCGTACACTGCCGCGTTCGGAGTTGCCAAGGGCAGCTACGTGATTTGAAAGCTCCGTATGGCGGAACCCAGATCCGCATGCAGTTTACGTAAGACTTTCCGTAGATCGACTACGTTTTTTACTAACATAATTACGTTATGCGGAACCTCTCTATTGTCAGGCGCAATGCGTGGTAGATGGTCTCACCTTCTGCACCTGTGCATCTCTGGCATCATGGGTCAGTTTCCTGGCAAACACAGTGGGGTTGTCCTGCACAATGCATTCAAGACACACGAACACAAGCATGTTAATGACGCAGGTAGGGTGTGCAGTGCTGCGATAATGTGCGGCGCACAAACACAAACGCGCGGAGCTGTTTGCAAAACGGACGGGGCTCCATTTCGTCCACAGTGTACACGCAGGCACAGACATAATACGCCTTACGTCCAAACCTATAGTATAGGTTTGTACGCACACATACAACTTGACACGCGTCAATTTGCACACCGAGGATAGCCTATGCATAACCAGCAGGCTCAGAGATTGGAGCAGACATGCTCCTTGTGACCATTGAAATGAACAAATGTTGATATGCACATGCTTACCAGAGGTGGTAAGCTGAATGCGATAGCGGATTCCAGTGCTGCTGCAGCCGAGACTTCTGGATCAAGACTATAATGGTGAAAACAAGAGCAACATATACATGCACATGCATAACAGGACTGGGTCAGAGGCATTGAGTAAAGCTACATGCATATGAGAGAGGGGGAGAGAGAGAGAGAGAGAGAGAGAGAGAGAGAGAGAGAGAGAGAGAGAGAGAGAGAGAGAGAGAGAGAGAGAGAGAGAGAGACGGAGAGAGAGAGAGAGAGACGGAGAGAGAGAGAGACGGAGAGAGAGAGAGAGACGGAGAGAGAGAGAGACGGAGAGAGAGAGAGACGGAGAGAGAGAGAGAGAGAGAGAGAGAGAGAGAGAGAGAGAGAGAGAGAGAGAGAGAGAGACGGAGAGAGAGAGAGAGACGGAGAGAGATGGAGAGAGAGAGAGATGGAGAGAGAGTTTTTGACAGAGAAACCCAACAAGGACCCCAGTTGGTTACTTACTCTGCCAGAGATAGTCTCGACTTCACCATTAGCTTGTCAGAGCTAAGCGGGTTGAGTGTGTCAGGCCGGCACAAGTGTGACGATGACATGGTGAGACCAGCCATGTGCCTGGTATTCCTCACTGGCGGGGTCTCCGTGAACGCCAGGTGCTTTTCCACGGACAACGGCTGCATCTCAACAGCTGACAAAGAGCTGTCGGCCTGAAAAGATGTGCCTGCACTGGGCTGGTGCTTTCCGATGGCCGACAGGGATGCATCGGAGTTGAAAGATGAGTCTGAGCGGGAATTTATAGGTGTGCTGGATGACGCGGCTTGTGCTCTCGACGGTGGTGCATCACGACTAGGACTAGCAATGTGGAACGAAGGAAATTCACCTCCTTCCTCGCGGTGCACAAAGACGGGTGAAGAGCCGACCAGGACGGAGTGGCGCTGCCTATCAGAGCTGTTCGGGAAACGGTCTGCAACTGATGGCTGATAGCAGGAGCGCTGACAGCGGATGACGGCTGGATGGTGTGATTGCTTCACTTCGTCCTGACACCGCATGGTCAACTCACACACATGCTCAAATGGCAGGCTTCTGAAACTCTCCAGAACTTCCCGTACGTATACGCCTGCCGGGTATATCAACAAACAAGTAAACAAACAAACAAACAAACAAGTATATACATGCACAGACACGCACCTACAAGCATGCACACATGTACACACAAGCACATAAGTTCAAACGCATGCACACATACACACGTGTGCAAACAAGCACGCGAATGTACATGTGCACACACACACACACACACACACACACACGCACACACATGCGCACACACGCACACGTGCACATACACATACACATGCACACACACACACACATCATTGGACCATTGGACGCCCATCGCCGGAGGCGATGAGAGCGATGCTACAGCAGAAGCCATAGCAGCTTGTGCTGGGATTGCACCATTCAACAGCTTGCAAGGCTGAAGAATTGACCGCCACTATTCAGCCTGGTCTACACCACACAGCTATGAAGTGGCTTTTTCTGGCCAGTGAATCCCTACTTTTTGGTCTTTTTCATTTTTTTTTCACACACACACATCACACCACATACTCCGGCATGCACTGGCTGTTGGTAACCACCCAGGAGAATGAAAGAAAAGTCAGGAGGAGTCTGAGAAAGAGAAGAAAGACGTGTGTGACCATAATCGTCGGGAATCGAACCCGCAACCTATCGATTGGAAATCGCTGCACATACCACTGCACCATATGGCACACACACACACACACACACACACACACACACACACACACACACACACACACACACACACACACACAAACACACGCACGCGCACACACACACACACACACACACACACACACACAGAGTAACCGACAGCCAATAATAGAACATCATCGTATCTGCTATCCACTGGTATCTGCTATTGCTAATATTTTAAATCCACAGTGACTAAAAATATATCTTTTAGCAGCGTACAATGTACTGAAATCAACAAGGAACCGCAAAACTGGCAGATACATGCATGTACACTATTGTACAGTGTAAACACAGTATCTATTTTCAAAGTACATGTAAGTGGAGCCACACCTGTACTACCTTTCGGCCAGGGTACCAACAGGGTACCAACAGGGTACCAACTGTCGTACGCAAGCATACATACACATACTGTAAAGTAACCCCCCCCCCCCCACCACGCTATGTCGCTTCCCAGCTGGTTTTCGGCAGGGGGCGAGGATTAGATCAAGTCGCTTCAGGAGCAGTATGATGTACAACAAAGCATTGCGTACAGCAGTGCAGGCGTCGGTTTAAAACCGTATTTCACTGTATACGCCGAAGTCGCTTCACAGGCAGAAATTCGACAGGGGGCGGAAATTAGAGATGGGGCGGATCACAGGTACTTTAAGGTATATACATACACACTCACGCACACATGCATGCACGGCACGCACACACCAATCACAGACATCAAGGACAGGAGCGCAAGCATACCACACATGCTGAGCGGATGAAGGAGTGGTGGCTGGTTTGATCCCTGTGGTGTCATCAAACCTGTCAACTCCGCCACTATGAGATGAAGTGCACCAATATCACCAGTGCCCTCCAGGAAACTACAACAGCTACAGACAACACACAAATTCAAACAGGCAGATCCTCACTCAATCGTGTGCACACACTCATACACACTTGTGCACGCGGGCACACACAAACACACGCACGCACGTACACATACAAACACAAACACACACACACTCTCTCTTATTCTCTCTCTCCCTCCTTCTCTCTCTCTCTCTCTCTCTCTCTCTCTCTCTCTCTCTCTCTCTCTCTCTCTCTCTCTCTCTCTCTCTCTCTCTCTCTCTCTCTCTCTCTCTCTCTCACGCTCTCTACCGCCGATGTACTAACCATCACACGATCCGAGGCTGTGCTCAACAGCCTTGAGTCAGAGATCACATTGTTGGTGTATCAGAAGTGCCTGATAGTGTGCTATCACTGCTATGTATTACACCTGGACAGTACTACTCGCACTAGGTGTAATACATAGCTAGTACTCCTCGCACTAGGTGTAATACATAGCTAGTACTACTCGCACTAGGTGTAATACATAGCTAGTACTACTAGCACTAGGTGTAATACATAGCTAGTACTACTAGCACTAGGTGTAATACATAGCTAGTACTACTAGCACCAGTCAATGATTATGTGATTGAACACTGCTCACAGCATTGTTCACAGCACTGCCCACAGCACTGCTCACAGCACTGCTCACAGCACTGCTCACAGCATTGCTCACAGCATTGCTCACAGCATTGCTCACAGCATTGCTCACAGCACTGCCCACAGCATTGCTCACAGCACTGCTCACAGTATGTCAATAATTATACAGGCCAGCAAGCAAAGGCATGGTTATAGCACATCACAGCACCAAAGCTACCTAACCCCCAAAGACAAGTACAAGATCATACCGTTCACATAGCTGGGAGATGTACAGCGGCGGGAAGCCGATAGTCTCCAAGTCACACAACATCTGGTCAAGCGTGGTCTCAGGGTTATCCTGAGTGCAGCAACACACAACAGTTACACAGTAGCAACATCACAAGTAAGAGATTCGGCGCTACTCAATACTTTCTCCAATGGTGGTGCTGGGGGCTGGAATCAACACCAGTAACAAAGGGTGTGGGTGGGGGATTCACCTAAGCTACTAGGCCTGTCACCATGTCTGAGAGAGAGAGAGAGAGAGAGAGAGAGAGAGAGAGAGAGAGAGAGAGAGAGAGAGAGAGAGAGAGAGAGAGAGAGAGAGAGAGAGAGAGAGAGAGAGAGAGAGAGAGAGAGAGAGAGAGAGAGAGAGAGAGAGGGCGAGAGGGAGGGCGAGAGAGAGAGAGAGAGAGAGACGGAGAGAGAAAGAGAGAGAAAAGAGAGAGAGAGGGCAAGATGTACCTCAAGGCACTGGAGCAGGTACAGGTCGACTTTGTCGGCAATGTACAAGGCTAGCTTGTGGGGTATTTCATCTCCACCGTCCTGATTCTCCTCATCAGCCTTGTCACACATTAACTTGATCAGCAATGTCCTCCATAAGTGACAGGGTGATAATGTGAGAACGTTTCCCACCGCTGCCTGCAGAGATCCTTCCATTGTGAGAGACCATAAGCCTGAGGAACAAAAGGAAAAAGAGACATACAGTATTTTCCGGAGTACACGCTGCACGCAGATTAGTTGGTCACGGAATACAGACATCTACCCTGTATTCCACGGTTCCTTTGACCATCGTAGTATATTGGCTTGCGCAATGTTCAAAGAATCTGCCCTGAGTTAGCTCCAGCACTGATTAACACCTATCGTGCTCCTGCCCGACTGTATGTTGGTGGTGAGTGCATAATGTCGGAAGAGGGCACCACGCAAGGAGATCCTCTGGCAATGCCATTTTATGCCGTTGCCATGCTGCCATTTAATCAGGAAGGCGACAAATGAGGATTCCATCCGACTCTGGTTCGCTGATGATGCCTCGGCAGCGAGAAAACTCGCAAGGATGCGTGCCTGGTGGGATGTTCTTGTTGGGGATAGCCCTAAATATGGATATTTCCTGACTCCTTCCAAATCAGTGCTGGTTGTGAAAGAGCAGTGAATGGAGGAGGCCCAGTCTCTCTTCCAGGGTACGGATATATTAATAACATGTGAAGGATCACGTTACTTAGGGGCTGCGATAGGGACCTCCCAATTCTGCCAGGAGCATATTAACAACAAAGTTCAGAAGTGGACCGATGAAGTTTTGCGACTGGCCGAGATAGCTCAGAGTTAGCCCCAGCAGCATATTCCGCTTTGTGCCAAGCCATACGAAGTAAACGGTCTTTTGTATGCCAGACGATAGAGGTTTCGGAGCAGGCATTGGAGCCACTGGAAAGGGCCATCCACCACAAGCTGATACTGGCCATTACTGGCCGTTCCTCACCAAATGACTCTATGAGACGCCTTTATGCATTGCCTTGTCGCCTGGGTGGTCTCGCGATCGTGCAACCTTTAACTTTAATACGCCAGTATGAAACATCCAAGTTCATCACTGCTCCCATAGTGCAACGAGTCAAGGGAGGCATCCATGCGGTCGGAGATGCGTTGGATGTTGTATGGAAGAGGAAAAACCAATCGAGATCATCCAATCGAAGAGGCCAGTTGGATGCACTGCCGTCTGTCATCGCGGACTCTTCGCCAACCTTTGTCCGGACAATTGACCTGGGAAGGGAGAGAGGAGCTTCCAGTTGGCTCACCTGTAAACCGTTACGCTGCCATGGGTTCAATCTAACGAAAGGCGAGTTCAGAGATGGACTGTGCTTACGGTATGGTTGGACACCCCAGCACCCCAGCAGCTGCCATCATCATGTGGATGTGGGCCGATCGCCTCTGTGAGCCATCTCTTATCGCGCCCAGTTGGTGGCTTTCCACCTATAAGACGTAACGAATTTAGAGATGTAACGGCTTCGCTTGTGAAGATCGTATGTAATAATGTGGCCACTGAGCCAAGCTTGCAACCATTGACCGGAGAGCGGCTTCGCTATCGCACAGCAATCACTGAGGACCAGGCACGTCTTGATATCGGTGTCAGCAGATTGTGCATGTGGGCAGTCGTTTCGAGCGCACACTCATTGATGTACGGGTGTTTAACCCTCATACTACCTCGAACCGCACTGCACCACTGGCCACTGTCTATCACCGACATGAACAGGAAAAACGAAGGAAGTACGAGGAGCGGGTCCGGAATGTCGAACATGCGTTGTTTGACCAAGTAGTTGTGACGGCGTCAGGTGGTTTTGGGCGTTCGGCAACCAGCCTGTACAAGAGAATTGCAGCGCTGCTGGCTGACAAGCGTAATGAACCGTATGCACATGTCATGGCATTTGTCAGGTGCCGCATTTCCTTTGCCCTCCTAAGGTCCTGTATAGTGTGCCTTAGAGGGTCTAGAACACGATTTTGAATATATCAACAAAGAATGGATCAACAAGAGCCTCCCGCCATGCTGGCGGTTTCTGAGGCAGCTATTGGTGTTTCGTATTTCTTTTAGAACTTTATTATTCATGTGTACTTGTGCAGGCTTTGTGGCCGGATTCCTCACTCTATGTGTTGAATTAAAAAAATGTAAAAAAACCTATGTAGTATAAGCCTCACCGACTTTTTTTGGTGAATTTCGAGTGTTTAAAGTGTGGCTTATACTCCGGAAAATACGGTACATGTACTAATGGACCAACACCTCTACAGAATAAAGAGCTTCAACTCATCAAGTCCATAACTGAAGTGACGGTGGCAAGTGAAACCGACCCCCGGCGGAGTGAGCACAGACTCGCTCCCTGGTGCATGCATTTGGCCATGCCTGCAACTGTACACGCGTGCGTGTGTGTGTGTGTGTGTGTGTGTGTGTGTGTGTGTGTGTGTGTGTGTGTGTGTGTGTGTGTGTGTGTGTGTGCGTGTGTGCGTGTGTGTGGGTATGGGTGCGCGTGCACGCATGTTTGCCGTCATTTGGCCAGGCACATGTATATGATCAGCAGCAAAATAAACATCAACTACTGTATCAAAAATATGCAGAACAACAACAATTAGGTGAAGGCCAGATAAGATATGACTTCGAATATTTCGTACACTCACACGATTGTTTAGACTGTTCGGGCACAAGATCTGAACAAGATCCATTCACAGAAACTTACAATTCGTTTCACACGAGCACAGACTCAATTCCAAGTTTCGCGCAAGGTTCAAAATATTCAAACTTCGGAGCCCATGTAGCTGGAAGTTTCCTCCAGATCAGCACGGCATCAAGGGCCTCCAGAAGGACAACAACTATCAAATCATACAATAAATTACAAAGAAGCCTGCGAGTGAGAATGCTGAATGACTGCTACTAGTTTTCGTACTTATTTTTATCTGCATATTTATGCCATGTTGTTCTGTTTTCAAAATTCGCGCGATTTTCGTGTGAAATTGTGGAAAGTATAGAATTTATATCGAATTTGTGCAATTATTTTTCTGCAGTCTATCTTTCCAGCTCATGCATGCTATATGCATAATAATTATGCTGCATGCTACTACATGCTACTCATGTAGATGCTAGCTGCTGTACCATATTAGTGGTAGATTTAGTATTACAATCATTATTGGTATTACAATACCAGACAGTACTAAAACCGGCCCCTTGCACTGACGGTCTGCATATCCCCTGGTTCGCACCAAGGATCGCTTGTGTGATTTTAGTACCGGCAGGGAAGCAAACTCAATCACCTACGTAAATATCTTGCGCCATATATATTTGCGTGGATGAATATCATTGGCCATTGCATTGTACTCAGGGCTAGGGAGCATGACATGGTTGTACTCACACATGTGTTGAGCCCCTTACATATGCACACATCACACACAGTGCGTGTATACACCACAAAAGGGAGCAGCACAGTAGTGTACTACGCTGAGCACACGCACGTACGCACATATCCTCACACACACACACACACACACACACACACACACACACACACACACACACACACACACACACACACACACACACACACACACACACACACACACACACACAACACACACACACACACACACACACACACACACACACACACACACACACACACACACACACACACACACACACACACACACACACACACACACACACACACACACACACACACACACACACACACACACACACACACACACACACACACACACACACACACACACACACACACACACACACACACACACACACACACACACACACACACACACACACACACACACACACACACACACACACACACACACACACACACACACACACCACACACACACACACACACACACACACACACACACACACACACACACACACACACACACACACACACACACACACACACACAACACACACACACACACACACACACACACACACACACACACACACACACACACACACACACACACACACACACACACACACACACACACACACACACACACACACACACACACACACACCTGGTCCGCACACACGCATGCACGCGCACACACACACACGCACCACCACCACCACCATCGACATGTTCAACAAAACAAGCACATGTACATGACTTACACACACACACACATACACTATTCCAGTGAGTGACTCAATTTATCTGGCTTTTCATAGCTCATTTATTTTTCATTGGTAGCTTAAATTGGTAATGTCGGCGTGCAGCACACTGAACTGCGACTATGACGGAAAGATAGACAGAAATATTCAATAAGACAATGGAGCATACATGAGGTACATCAGCAAACACACATGCTCACGCCAATGAGCGAGACAGTCATGGCCATGACTGTACTACTAGTACTGTACAGAGATCAACGCCACACTAAAACAAGTAATAAAAATATTGATGTTCAACAGCGGGAGAAAACAAGTTTTTAAACACTCAACGGACAACGTTTGTACATATGTGCGAGGTCATGGAACGTAAGCAAGGGACACCAAGGAAAAGGATGGCGAGTGGCAAGCACAGCTTGTTTCATACACTATTACATTTCTACTTCAAGTAGTCTAGTTTTCAATAATTGTAAGGAGAGATCGAGTAAGAGAACCTATTCAAAGTGGCGGGCGGTATAAAGGGTCATCGGTTATTACAGACTATCACGGTCAACTTTCAAGTCTGTTTTATGCTTTCAATTTTCATGGGCAAAGGATCAGCTAAGAGATATTGTATGGTGGTTGATATGACATGAGTAGAGTACAAATATTACAACATGCAGAGACCAGGTGATGGACGTCCCACTTCCAACTACCGAGCACTTCTAACAAACTAC